ATTACACCGGCAACTCAACTTTTGCATGAATATATCTATGAAAAATATTACTTTGCTACCTTGCTTTTAAACATGCAGCCATGTTGTGAAAAGGTCTACCTTGTCGTTCAGCCAGTTGGGATGTGTTAATGTCTCGAAGTCCTTGCGCTCCAAGACATCGCCGGCTACATGGTAGCGGGATGATTGGTCTGGTATTTTGGGCATTGTCCTGTCCCTATTCAAAACCTTTACCAGAGTGCTAGCCCCTGTTAATGAATGAAAATGTATAGGTTTAATCACAAAATTTTAACCATGTGGGTTTGTGTATTGATGCTGGATTAACCAGCTCACAATATATATTAATCGCACTATAATTAGCAGAAAATGAATTTTAAATTCAATTGCCAAACTGACAGTAATGTATAGAATAAATCAATAATGTTTAAAATTGTAATCACAACTAAAATAAACATCACTTTTATCACCAAACTTAATTTTTCGGATGAATAAGTGAGTTTACAAATGTAAATTCTTCTGAAATACATATACAGATGAAATTTTATGCTACAGGATGAAAAAAATAAATAGTAGGCTTAAGGATGTAACCAACTCCACAATATATAAAAGTAAATTGTTTAGAATTATGATGATGTAATTTATCATTTGGATTATGTCTCACCTGGAGCGGGGGGGGCCGGGGGGCCCGGCCCCCCCCCCCCTTGAGAAAAAAAATCATGTAAAATCACGTGATTTTTACCTTTTTTTGGGGTTGGGCCCCCCCCCCTGGCGCTCAAGGGGGGGGGGGGTGCAAATTTAATTTTTTTTTTGAGGATAAAAAAAAAAAAAAGTGCTCACTACCCCCCCCCCCCCCCTCAAAGATGTTCGCAATATGAAAGAAGGGTGGGAATATCAATAGACCAATGCATTAGGCACAAATGACACAATGATATTTTTTTTCTATATGAGGGTGATTATTCTAATGCAAAAATTGTGATAAAACAACTTTTCTTTATTCAAATGTGTCAAGATTTTGCTTCTGAAAATTGTATTTGTAGCACTTGATTGGTATTACCAAGGTTTTACCTGTAATTTGCCAGCACCCTAAAGATATTTTGCAAAAAAATTACCTTCTGATCGCACCTTCTTTGTTGTCTGTGTCTTCCTTTGAGGACGCTTCTTTCCAGCAGCTGAAAAAGACAGAGTATTAGCTGTTATTCTAACTTGGGCAAACTTGGGCAATGGAGAAATGTCTGGAGCAATAGCCAATAAATATAGTCTAATTGAATGTTGATGTGAGTGAAACAGCAAAATCACAAATAGCAATCCTTTTGAATTATTCACTTTTGAAATTTAAACCCTTTTGGATGGGAATAAAAGGAAATGTGACCCTGACATGTCCTCTTACAAGATAACATGAAAGGTATCTCATGGAACTTTAGGTAATACATGTTCACATTTTGCTGTTGAAAAAGAGAACTTGTACTTTTTTCGTGTAACTAAAAAGAAAAAGGGCTTACGTTTTAAAGTGGCTTTGTCCACATCACCATTCTCCTGGATTGTAATTTTGGAGGCAACCTTTGCTCTTTCAGCAGCAATACCAACTCGCCCAGATGTTTTAGCTTTCTTCCTCCTTTGAAGAGCTGCTGGCTTTCTCTTAACCGGGCCCTTGGTGGTTGAGTGAGTGGGAGGGGGATTCAGCTCGGTCAACACCCCATCCTGGTTCAGCAAACCAACAAGGTCCCCAAGTTTCTCTTCCACAGCGGCCAATAGAGAAGGGTCATGGCAGGTGTATGTCATATCTCTCAAGAGAGCAAGTCTTTCCCTACACCTAAGTGCAACTTGCTTCAGACTTGATGGCACAACTCTCCTTGGAAGTTCCTGGAGATTGCTACCATGGTCCTGGTCTAGGCTGTCATCCTGATCAAGAGCTGGTTCAGGGAGTTGATGGTTAGCCTCCTGCAGGAAAGTGGCTGCCTCTTGATCAAGGGTGATGTGAGGGGATTCTCTGAAACTCGCAGGCAGAGACTCCCAGGTTTTCTCCTGGTACTCCCTCATGACTGCAAAGAGATGTTTGCAGGGCATCTGACGCCACCTCCAATCCCAGCATGTGCAGCTGGGAGGGCCATGGGTCTGTAGCTTGACAACATATGTCAGCTTCTGCTCAGTGTCACTCTCCACCTGATGGTTGAAGGAGAGATGTGATAATTGAGAAAAAACTGATCATGAAAAATATGTTGCATTACAGTGTGAGCACATAGTAGTTAAGCAGTTATAGACCAAAATATTTTATAAGTGAAGAGAGAAAGGTTTTAAAGAAACCGCAACCTTAACCCTAACCTTTAAGCTACACCTGATAACAAATACAGTAGTGAAAAAGATGTCCTAGCAAAACTATTCAATGTTAACAAATTTCAAAAAAAGTTCCTCACAAAAACCAAGAAGAACTAGAAAGAAAAAAAATAAAATAAGAATTGACTGGGTGGATCAATTTTCACCTACTTTGAGTCTTCACACAAATATTTTGACATTTTGGGTTTTGGGATTCAGAGTCACATGCATTTATTACCTCAAAAGTATCTGATGAAACCCTCCTGATATTTGTCTGTGGGATGGTGTCGATCTGCCAGCTCCAATTTGCTCATACAGTGCTGGATAAACCAAGCAGGTCTGTTTCTGAGGTAGTGTGGAATTGCATGGTCATAGCCTCTACCATATGATTCCATGGCACATGTATTTGCCTTCACATATCTGTAACCGCACAAGATAACAGGAAATAAGAGCAAGAATGGCAATTAATGCATCAAGGCCAGTTATTAAAAACTTGCCTTGGGCTCGAAAATTTTGTTGGTCCTTGCAGTGACCTTCACCTCCTATGCAAAGATATGAACCATTATCAAAAAGTCAACGCAAAGCGTAGCATCCCCTCGCAGGGTACAAATGGCCTCTATATACATCAGAAAAAGTTACCTTCATTGGACTATACTATTATATTACTAGGCAAGGAAGTTAACCACATTTTCACAAATATAATTAGGTGTTTTTGCATATTTAATGAGCTATGACCTTTCACCTTTGACCTACATACTCCGAAATCGAACTTAGGTTGTACATGTATTTTGATACCATGTACCTTCATATTAAATTTCATAGAAATCTGTCAAACATTACTAAAGTTATCGATCTGAAACCAGATGTGTATTTTTTCGTATATTTAATGAGTTATGACCTTTGACCTACATACTCTGAAATCAAACTTAGGCTGTGTTTTGATACCATGTACCTTCATATCAAATTTCATTAAAATCTGTCAAACATTATTGAAGTTTTCAATCGGAAACCAAATTTGTTACGGACGGCAGCGTTTCTATACCCCCTCCGACTTCGTCGGCGAGGGGATAAAAATGCATGTAAAACTTAACATTGGGCTCTAAAATGTTTGACCTGGTGGTTACCTTTATCTTCACAAGGGATAACCATCAACAGTGGCGGATCCAGGGGGGCCGAAACGGCCGCGGCCCCCCCTAATGGCGGCGCAAAAAAAGGGAAAAAAAGAGAAAGAAAAGAAGAGAAAAAAAGAAAGAAGAGAAGTAAAAAGGAGAAGAGAAAAGAAAGGAGAAGAGAAAAGAAAAGAGAAGAGAAAAGAAAGAAGAGAAAAGAAGCAGAAAGAGAGAAAAAAAGGAGAAAAGAAAAAAAGAAAGCCCCCAGCACCCCCCCCCCCCCCCCCCCCCCCCCCCCCCCCCCCCCCCCCCTCTCCCTCCCACTCCGGGAATCTCCGATAAAGGGTAAGTTTTCACGCAACAAAGTCCGGCCCGTAATACACAAAATCCGGCCCGTACTGACTTTACACACTGGAGGTCACTGTGACAGGTGGCTATCTCATTAACTCAGCTCTCATTTAACGTAAGAAAAAGAGGGGACCAACAGACACCGATTGGGGAAGTTTTCTATATAGAGGGAGCAAGTAGCTACAAGTAGGACAGTGTGCCTTTAAGAGTCGAGAATGGAACAACCAATCATCTTCTTCCTCTAATAATATCAGAATAATCACCCTCATATAGAAAAAAAATATCATTGTGTCATTTGTGCCTAATGCATTGGTCTATTGATATTCCCACCCTTCTTTCATATTGCGAACATCTTTGAGGGGGGGGGGGGGGGGTAGTGAGCACTTTTTTTTTTTTGATCCTCAAAAAAAAAAAATCAATTTGCACCCCCCCCCCCCCCCCTTGAGCGCCAGGGGGGGGGGGGGCCCAACCCCAAAAAAAGGTAAAAATCACGTGATTTTACATGATTTTTTTTTCTCAAGGGGGGGGGGCCGGGCCCCCCGGCCCCCCCCCCCCCCCTGGATCCGCCACTGCCCAGTGGATACATATATCAAACTTATTATTCGCAAATTGTTATCAACATTCAATCTAGATATTATTTATAATTGTTATTGACTATAATGAGAATATATTGTCTCTCTTTAAAGATGCCACAAAGAAGCTTCACTACACCAAGTTGGTCAACTGTAAAAAGCAAAGTCAAAAAGAATCAACCAGCCCGCTACAGTCAGCCAAGTCGCCAGGTGAGACATAATCCAAATGATAAATTACATCATCATAATTCTAAACAATTTACTTTTATATATTGCGGAGTTGGTTACATCTTTAAGCCTACTTTTTATTTTTTTCATCCTGTAGCATAAAATTTCATCTGTATATGTATTTCAGAAGAATTTACATTTGTAAACTCACTTATTCATCCGAAAAATTAAGTTTGGTGATAAAAGTGATGTTTATTTTAGTTGTGATTACAATTTTAAACATTATTGATTTATTCTATACATTACTGTCAGTTTGGCAATTGAATTTAAAATTCATTTTCTGCTAATTATAGTGCGATTAATATATATTGTGAGCTGGTTAATCCAGCATCAATACACAAACCCACATGGTTAAAATTTTGTGATTAAACCTATACATTTTCATTCATTAACAGGGGCTAGCACTCTGGTAAAGGTTTTGAATAGGGACAGGACAATGCCCAAAATACCAGACCAATCATCCCGCTACCATGTAGCCGGCGATGTCTTGGAGCACAAGGACTTCGAGACATTAACACATCCCAACTGGCTGAACGACAAGGTAAGACCTTTTCACAACATGGCTGCATGTTTAAAAGCAAGGTAGCAAAGTAATATTTTTCATAGATATATTCATGCAAAAGTTGAGTTGCCGGTGTAATAACATTCCAAAAGCACATATATAGAAACAAAAATGACCTCATAAGATTCATGTACCAAGTTTTGTGACAATACGTCCATTGGTTATGGAGATATCACGATATAACAAGCTATTTTTGCATGTATGGGAACTGTGACCGTTGACCTCGTGACCCCAAATTCTTATAACTTTTTTAGCTCCTCAAGAGACATACATGTAGCAAGTTTGGTGGAAATTCATCAACCAGTTATCAAGATATTTTGATAATGAGAAAAAACGGACAAACTATATATTTATATGTACAACCAAAAAACACAATTTGCTTCAGGCCACATTTTGTCTTTGCCGATCTTGTCGATCAGCCCAAAAATCGCTCATGTGTACAAAACATATGGACATGTCATTTTTCCTAAAAAGAGATCAAGCATTGGTTATTTGGACTTGTTAAAAGTTTAGGTGTTTGTTTTGGGGGTCAAAATAGTTGAATTGTAGTTAGAAATGAAATAAAACAACAAAAACAATGAAATACATATGATAAAAAAAAATACATAAGAAATTATCAAGACAAGAGAAAATATGTTGTGTGTGTATTCTTACAGGTTGTCAATGCCTACCTGCTTCTCCTCCGTAATCAGGCCAACATACAGGATGACGGCCACATCTATGTTATGCCTTCATATGTTCCTGTCCAATGGAGCAGTAGCAATCTTCAGCCATGGCTTTTCCACAAGGTATGGAAATGCACACAGATTGCTGTAAAAAAGCTAACTTGCCATATTGCCTTACCAAAGAAACAACACATGAATGCAAATACACTGGCTTCAAACCTGGGATTAGGTCTATTGAAAACACATGAAGCACCGATTTAAGTATGAACATGTACAGAGAAAATTGGATTCAGACAATAAACATCCAAGATATAGCTTTGGTAATTACTTTCTGATACCAGTCCTTGTTTGCCCGTTCCCTTCTAGATTCAGAAATTCAAATCAGATTTTCTCAGATTTTTACTTCTTTTTCTTCCTCTTCTTCCATTCCTCCTCCTTCCTCCTCTTCTCCTCCTCTTCCTTCTTCTTTTCATCATAATCATCATTATCATCATCATCTTCATCTGTATCATAGTTATTATCATTAAAATGATTAATTCAGTATAATTGTTATGATGATGATTATTATTATCATCAACATCATAAAAACACACTGTACCATGTATGTTTCATCCATTTAACTCCTCCTCCTCTCCCTCACCTAACACTGCTATTTGTCTCTATTTCAGTTCGGAGGTATTTGTGTGATTATTCAAATTTCGAATGTGTAAAAATCTCACAACTTTGAAATGATGGTTTATACATTCATACTTACAACATTAATTTCTTTTTCATCAGGTGAAACTTCACATGTTCCAGTGGCTCTTAATCCCAATAAATGTTGACAACAGCCACTGGATACTTTTGTGTGCCAATCCGGCAAAGAAGACGGTGTCTTTGCTGGATTCGCTGCCAGGGAGAGACAACTCGAGGTACCTGGAGCAGTTCAGGTGAGTCCATGTACTATTAATATTACAACATATATTAGTCACAGATTTTGAGGAATTGTAAACATGCTATTGTCCATCAAACTGTGGCATTTTGCCTGCATGGAGCGTAGATCACAGCGGGAGTCCACTTGATGAAGACCACAATGGGGGTTTTCAATCACACCGCAAGAAATACGTAATGATAAGTTTACTATTAAAGGATAATAAATACTTGGCCAGAAAACTGCCTACTGATATATTTGAAAAATTGAAAAACTGATTTGCTGCACATCGATCATCAATGCGGAAATGCACATATGCTACAAAAGTCCAAGTGGTCCCCATTTTCTATCCAGTATGTGGCTCTTATGCAGGCTTGTCGATATCTCCAGCCCAGCGCGGACAGATGAGAAGGGGCGGTGGATTTTGTACAATGCACGGGCGGCCATTGGATTTCTTCCAATATTACTTCATTTAACGATGCCTAGGTTTGGATTTTACCATGCAAGCCCTTTTTAAGTACTCATTTAACAGAAATGATCAATTAGTTTGGCCAATATAGATATTTCAATAACTTTTCCAAAACTTTAATTTATCTTTGTTCCCTTAGTATTTCTCACCTTTCCTTCCTTATCCTTTCTTCTTTCTCTTGCGCTTAGAAACGTTGTATTAAGCGCATTATAAATGTAATGTATTATTATTATTATTATTATTATCTTTAAATGTATAATTTAGCTATATTTGAAATACTCATTTGTCATGATTACAATGATGTCTCTTCCTGCAATGTGCAACAATGCTGTTTTACAGTTTATAATAGGTGTAAGGTCAGAAAATTGACAATATTTCAGTCCTCAAACTATCCTTTAGGACATATACCGACCATTAGGGTAAAAAAAACTCTTCTAACATAACGAATGACAACCCTCATTTTGTTTACGAATAGCAACCATCATATTACAAATAAGAACATTTTCTATAATTATGCATAGCAGTCCGTATGAATAATGACCACTTTTTGAATGATGAATATGGGTCCTTATGAATAGCGAGTAGACATCAGGTAGATCAAAGGTAATCTCTCTGCTGGCGGTGTAATAGTTATCCTGTCATAGCAGTACATAAGGCTATTGGCAACTAATAACGAGAGACCTTTATTGCATTAAAGTACTATCTTTAGAAATAAATTTAAAAAGAAGCGACAATGGTAAAGTAAAGCTTTCTTCTCTCTCACCTGGTTTTGAGATTTTTATTTTTCATTTGAATGCAAAAGGAAGTACATGGATCTTCGCAGTGAGGCTACAGGAGAGCTGGCGGGTCACTGGATGGAGGATCGCCAGCTACAGTCAGCAAGGCAGACTGACGGGGTCTCGTGTCGAGCATTTGTTCTACTGGTAATTGATTCTAATGATTCGACTTTGTTTCATTAAAATAAATGTCCTTAAATTAGCTCGCCTTGCATTCACTAATACAATGGCTTTTTACTATAGTAGTTTGACAGCATTGAGCATTCCTACACTATATGAGGTGGCTCTTAAATGAAATTGCAGTATAGATTCTCTGATGTATCCAATTCTATGGCTAAAGAAGTTATCACAATTACTCAATCATTCATGATTAAACAATATATTCTTTACAAAGCAGATTTTATGTTTGTATTGTGAAATTTCTTTGTCTCAAATATGTAATATTTTTGCTCCTTAATATTGTTTTTCATTCTAGGAGTACAAATGGCCTACTGTACCTTGATTTAGGTCCAAATCAGAACTTAAGTTCAACTTATGTTGTTAGTGTTGTTAAGATCAGTTATCCTGTGATATTTTAAATGCTTACATAATTGTAAAGGGCTGAAATTGATGCCATGCAGGTTTGGTGCCTATCTATTGCTGGATTGGTGCCATATTTGGTTATTTATGTAGTAAGATATGCTGCAATATTGCTTACATAATTGTGAAGGGCTGAAATTGATGCCATGCAGGTTTGGTGCCCATCTAATGCTGGATTGGTGCCATATTTGGTTATTGTTGTAAGATATCCTGCAATATTGCTTACATAATTGTGAAGGTCTGAAATTGATGCCATGCAGGTTTGGTGCCCATCTAATGCTGGATCGGTGCCATATTGGGTTATTTATGTAGTAAGATATGCTGCGATATTGCTTACATAATTGTGAAGGGCTGAAATTGATGCCATGCAGGTTTGGTGCATATCTAATGCTGGATTGGTGCCAATTAGGTTATTGTTGTAAGATCAGTTATCCTGTGATATTTTAATTGCTTACATAATTGTAAAGGGCTGAAATTGATGCCATGCAGGTTTGCTGCCTATCTATTGCTGCATTGGTGCCATATTTGGTTATTGTTGTTGGATATCCTGCAATATTGCTTACATAATTGTGAAGGGCTGAAACTGATGCCATGCAGGTTTGGTGCCTATCTAATGCTGGATTGGTGCCATATTTGGTTATTGTTGTAAGATATCCTGCAATATTGCTTACATAATTGTGAAGGGCTAAAACTGATGCCATGCAGGTTTGGTGCCCATCTAATGCTGGTTTGGTGCCATATTTGGTTATTGTTGTTAGATATCCTGCAATATTGCTTACATAATTGTGAAGGGCTGAAATTGATGCCATGCAGGTTTGGTGCCTATCTAATGCTGGATTGGTGCCATATTTGGTTATTGTTGTAAGATATCCTGCAATATTGCTTACATAATTGTGAAGGGCTGAAATTGATGCCATGCAGGTTTGGGGGCATCTAATGCTGGATTGGTGCCATATTGGGTTATTGTTTGAGATATCCTGCAATATTGCTCACATAATTGTGAAGGGCTGAAATTGATGCCATGCAGGTTTGGGGGCATCTCATGCTAGATTGGTGCCATACTGGGTTATTATTGTAAGATCAGTTATCCTGTGATATTTTAAATGCTTACATAATTGTGAAGGGCTGAAACTGATGCCATGCAGGTTTGGTGCCTATCTAATGCTAGATTGGTGCCATATTGGGTTATTATTGTAAGATTAGTTATCCTGTGATATTTTAAATGCTTACATAATTGTGAAGGGCTGAAATTGATGCCATGCAGGTTTGGTGCATATCTAATGCTGGATTGGTGCCAATTAGGTTATTGTTGTAAGATCAGTTATCCTGTGATATTTTAAATGCTTACATAATTGTAAAGGGCTGAAATTGATGCCATGCAGGTTTGCTGCCTATCTATTGCTGCATTGGTGCCATATTTGGTTATTGTTGTTGGATATCCTGCAATATTGCTTACATAATTGTGAAGGGCTGAAACTGATGCCATGCAGGTTTGGTGCCTATCTAATGCTGGATTGGTGCCATATTTGGTTATTGTTGTTAGATATGCTGCGAAATTGCTTACATAATTGTGAAGGGCCTAAATTGATGCCATGCAGGTTTGGTGCCTATCTAATGCTGGATTGGTGCCATATTTGGTTATTGTTGTAAGATATCCTGCAATATTGCTTACATAATTGTGAAGGGCTGAAATTGATGCCATGCAGGTTTGGTGCCCATCTAATGCTGGTTTGGTGCCATATTTGGTTATTGTTGTTAAATATCCTGCAATATTGCTTACATAATTGTAAAGGGCAGAAATTTATGCCATGCAGGTTTGGTGCCATCTAAAATGCTGGATTGGTGCCATATTGGGTTATTTATGTAGTAAGATATGCTGCGAAATTGCTTACATAATTGTGAAGGGCCTAAATTGATGCCATGCAGGTTTGGTGCCTATCTAATGCTGGATTGGTGCCATATTTGGTTATTGTTGTAAGATATCCTGCAATATTGCTTACATAATTGTGAAGGGCTGAAATTGATGCCATGCAGGTTTGGGGGCATCTAATGCTGGATTGGTGCCATATTGGGTTATTGTTTGAGATATCCTGCAATATTGCTCACATAATTGTGAAGGGCTGAAATTGATGCCATGCAGGTTTGGTGCCTATCTAATGCTAGATTGGTGCCATATTGGGTTATTATTGTAAGATCAGTTATCCTGTGATATTTTAAATGCTTACATAATTGTGAAGGGCTGAAACTGATGCCATGCAGGTTTGGTGCCTATCTAATGCTAGATTGGTGCCATATTGGGTTATTATTGTAAGATTAGTTATCCTGTGATATTTTAAATGCTTACATAATTGTGAAGGGCTGAAATTGATGCCATGCAGGTTTGGTGCCCATCTATTGTTGGATTGGTGCCATATTGGGTTATTGTTGTTAGATCAGTTATCCTGTGATGTTTTAAATGCTTACATAATTGTAAAGGGCTGAAATTGATGCCATGCAGGTTTGGTGCCTTTCTAATCCTGGATTGGTGCTATATTTGGTTATTGTTGTTAGATATCCTGCAATATTGCTTACATAATTGTGAAGGGCTGAATTTGATGCCATGCAGGTTTGGTGCCTATCTATTGCTGGATTGGTGCCATATTTGGTTATTTATGTAGTAAGATATGCTGCAATATTGCTTACATAATTTTGAAGGGCTGAAACTGATGTCATGCAGGTTTGGTGCCATCTATTGCTGGATTGGTGCCATATTTGGTTATTTATGTAGTAAGATATGCTGCAATATTGCTTACATAATTTTGAAGGGCTGAAATTGATGCCATGCAGGTTTGGTGCCCATCTAATGATAGATTGGTGCCATATTTGGTTATTTTTGTAAGATATCCTGCAATATTGCTTACATAATTTTGAAGGGCTGAAACTGATGTCATGCAGGTTTGGTGCCTATCTAATGCTGGATTGGTGCCATATTGGGTTATTTATGTAGTAAGATATCCTGCAATATTGCTTACATAATTGTGAAGGGCTGAAATTGACGCCATGCAGGTTTGGTGCCCATCTAATGCTAGATTGGTGCCATATTTGGTTATTGTTGTTAGATATCCTGCAATATTGCTTACATAATTGTGAAGGGGTTAAATTGATGCCATGCAGGTTTGGTGCCTATCTAATGCTGGATTGGTGCCATATTGGGTTATTTATGTAGTAAGATATGCTGCAATATTGCTTACATAATTGTGAAGGGCTGAAATTGATGCCATGCAGGTTTGGTGCCTATCTAATGCTGGATTGGTGCCATATTGGGTTTTAGTTGTAAGATCTGTTATCCTGTGAAAGGTTGTATCTACATGTTTGTGAATGGTTGAAATTGAAGACATGCAGATCTTAATATCAACATCATAACGCATAATTTACATGTAATAAAGAATTTTTGGAACTGTTTCTGTACGCGTCTCTTTCACTGATGATGCTGTTTTATTTACTTTTTAATGTTATTTCTTATGTTTCTCCTGTATAATTTACATATCTATATCTGTGGGAGTGTATCTGTGTGTTTCTCATGGCCTGCATATATTAAGGGGGAGGGGGGAGGGAGGGATGGAAATGAAAAATTCAAGAAAAAGAAAATTACACTCAGGAGGAAAGGTAAGTCACACATGACAACCTACCCCCCCCCCCCCCCCATAAAAAAGGGGCATGAACAAATGAAATGAAATCAATTCAAATTCATTTAAATAGAATCCTGATATGAAAGGATTATCAAAGATTAACAAAGATAAACAAATATTTTAACTGAAACATGACAAAATATAACGGAACAAATGCAGAAATGACAGAACAAAATAAGCAATTAAGACACGGTTAACATCTTTAGATACATGACAGAAAACATAATGATGCTTATAAATACAGATATGAAACAGATTTACTTAAAAGAAAACAGAACTGAGACAAATGTACAGTGAAATACAGGTATTGACAAAAAAAAAGTTTTGAAATCGGCCCACATATCAATGACAAATTAACATAATTTTTTTTTGTTTTAATTTATTATTATTATTATTTTTTTATAAATATTTTTGAAGGAAAACCTTCACAAGAGTTAAGGCCTAAATGATAGCACCAATTTAGCATCATATGGGCACAAAACCTGCTAAGGTACGTGGTCTAATTTCCAATAGAATTTTTTATATTTTTTACAATATGGCTCAATATGTTATCAATATCCCCCCCCCCCCCAGTCGGCCGGCCCAGGCATAATCACAAAGATTTATCCTGTTAAGTAGTAGCACCTACTTATGCCTCCCATTCGCGCGCCCCCCCCCCCCCCCTGACCCAACGCCCCCTCCTCCAAACATTATCGATATCGCATGGACAGTAACCTACAATATACATCATCAATCTCAGTGGCACCTATCTCGCGTGATCTTGGCACCGAACCTGCTACTTTATATTGTTTACAGTGTTCAGCATGCTAGCTATAGCAGCACGCGCGGCTAATGAATATTCATGAGTTCACGGCTGCAGGATTGGTGCCTATATAGTTACCAGCTGATCACGGCGAAGATAAAAATGTACTAGAATTATGTCCCGGCATGCTTTGCTTTGCGATGAAACAACCGTGAAGGCACGTATTCTCGCCTTGCCCAAGGTACAAAGAGGATTTGTTTTAAAATCTTTAATTTGCATATTAGGAAAAAACTAATTATACGTCTTGTTCCTTACGTAAATATCTACAAATATGCAAATTTTCGTGTTCATCGGACATTCGACGGCCGAGATCATAGGGGGGGGGGGGGGGGGGGTGCTCAAAATAGCCCAGTACAGTAAGGGTTAATTTTTCAGTCGTCAAACAAAATAAAAAGAAGTGAAATTCTTCATTACTTGTGAGGGTGAATTCTGTACAACATTGTTTTGTAAGGT